GTATTACTAAAGATATGTTCTGTGTAAGCAATTTATTCAGTCTGTATGTGTTTATTTGACCTTCACAACACATGTTACTTCATATTTGGTTATTTTTGGGAAATCTATGTCAAATAACTGCACATGATACTAGATACAAACCGTTTAGAAGCTCATGATGAATCATGTGACCACTTATTGAAACTTCTCAAATTTCCATTCCCTTTCTAAAGCAAGATATAGTGTGATATCGTTATGAATGTTACACAAATTGTCGCTACCGTTGATAAGTTAGCTAGGATGAGTAAAAAAGCCTTATCATTTGAACTTGATATAGACTTTTACGTTCGTTGGCTTGTATTCTGTTATTCTACTACTTACAGTTATTGTTGTCTTTACTACTGTTCACACTAACGAGTTCCCATGTGTAAATATTTTATTTAAGTATTGTGATATTTTTAAAATCATTCATGATACGCCTATATGATTATGGAATTATTTTAGCTACCTGGGTAGGTGGCGGCTACATAAATGGAACGGCTGAGAACACTTATAATCCAACTCAAGGTCTTGTTTGGTGTCAAGCTCCAGTTGGATATGCGCTAAGTTTAGTAGTTGGTAAGTGAATTTGTATAAAACAATTAAATTGACTTTTTTAATAGACAGTTTGAAAGTCCTTACTTTATTCTCCTTGACTTAGAACTGTTTGGTTGAACTTTTAAGAATATTCTAAGAAATTTATTAGTTGAAGTTGGATGTCATCAGTCAAAAAAATACTCGACACCAGAATATTGTTTTAAATTTTTTTTATTAGGCACCAAAAATCCATGTCGCTTGTGAACTCGTTCAGTGTTTGAATGTACGAAACAAGTCGATAAACTTAATGCTTTAAACTTTCCTTCTCATATTGAATCATGAACGTTTGATATGAAAAGGGATACTAGATAGTTGAAGTATATATTATTCAGTTAATATTGCTGATGCAGAAAATATGCAATTTTTGATCACTATAGAATTCATTTTGTATTAACAAGGTTTTCTGTGAGGCTATTTGATGTAAGAAATGATAGCTTCAACAATATTTTCTTATACTATGACGCTCCATGCTAACTGAAACATATTGGAACCCGCTGATTGTTTGATTTAGTAATTATACAAAAATAGTAGTAGGAAAGTCATATTCGAAACCCTCCACTAGGTGTTGTGGTGGTCGGTATTCAATATAATCCTTAAACTTCGTACAATGTTCGTCCTGATAACCGTCGCTCGATAACGCCCAAATGGTGTATTAATCAGAAGTCGAATACGAAGTGTTGATTACATTTATTATTGCATCATCAAAATCACAGGTACGCTAAGCAACCATGAAAGAGTAGTGCCGAAAACCAAGTGGACAAGCGAACGAGTGTGAATAGGGTTAAGATGTACATATTACATATACATAGCGAAATGAATGAATCATCGAATCAATTGAGCGACTAACAGTTAGGCTAGCACAATAAATATAAGCTTAGGCAGTAAGCAATGCTCCAGTATACATATTCATACAAGTGCAACAATAATAAAGGTACAATGGTATAGATAAGTTTTTATTGTAAGAATGACTGTCCGTTAAAAAAGTTAACGAAAGGGCTTAACCAAATTAAATATTAACAAACTCAATTGCACGTAGTTGCTATAGTGTGTTTCCTTACAAACTTGTCAACTTTCCACAACAAAGTGATCACTATAGGCAATTTGTTTAAAACCTTTAGGATACTAGTGATTATGATAATATATATTCGACAGGTAAGTTGTACTGAAAATAACTCGTCTAGTTCAAACGATGCAAAGAAAATTTTTGCAATACTAAATATGTTAGATGATTCTGCTTTATTGTTCTTACTTTAAACACCATTGTTAATAATACTTTAATCTTTGTCAATTAGGTGGTTTATTCTTTGCTAATCGAATGCGTACATTGGGTTATGTTACAATGCTTGATCCATTTCAAAATAAGTATGGTGAACGTATGTGCGGTCTGCTTTTTATTCCAGCATTACTTGGTGAAGTATTCTGGACAGCAGCTATTCTATCTGCACTTGGTAAGTAATCATGAGACTAATAGTAGTCATTAATCAACCTGTTCGTTATTACCGATAAGTCTGTTTTTCTTCTAGTCTTTTCATACTCATTATGTAGCAAAAGCGAAGATGAATAATTTCAGTAACTACATTATATAGTAATCGGTGCCAATTTGAAACTCAGCAAAAATAATTATCCCCATTGTAATATTATAAACATATGACCATTATACCAGTAAACAACATAATTTATTAGAAGAATCAGTTGAAATTACAAATTTCTTATATTTGAAAATGATCACTCCTAACCAGGAACCATTGGATAGTTGGTTCATTTTCATTGTAAATTTTGATCTTTAAATCAAACTAATCATCGAAACGATCATTGAAATGAACGAAATATTTTCATTTTTAAATATAAACGTTATACATGTCAATATACATTGAGTATGATTTTATTTTAACTGTAGGAGCTACATTAGGTGTAATAGTGGATTTAGATCAGAAAACTTCAATCATTCTATCAGCATGTATTGCATTGGTTTATACATTATTTGGTGGATTATATTCCGTTGCATATACAGATGTTGTGCAGTTATTTTGTATCTTCCTTGGCTTGGTAAGTTTTAGTTTATTGTTTGCTTTACTTTAGATTATTGGTTAAGTAATCTGTAATATACATAAATCTAATAGACAAATTTAAATAGGTGTTGCTTTTTTTCTGAAATATAAAGAAAACTGGTTAGCTAAATGAAATCGCTGAATATATTCAACAACTTGGGAAAATTGTCTTCATTCTAAGAAGTAAGTTACCTTTAAGCCAGGGGTTTTAGAATAATGAAATAATTAGTGAAATATGCCTGGTAAAGATTAAACGTGGACTACAGAATATACAGATTCGCTTGTATGTTGATAATCTTGTTGAGAAATTTGTACAGTGATTCATATCTATGTCTATTTATCTAGAACAAACGTATTCGAGCTTTACTATAGACATAAGCTTTTCATGTGAATATATTTTGTTGCAATTATTCTCCCATCCTTGATTTACAGTAAGTCCACAGCTATGATCAATCTCCGATGATCACTAACATCAGTGTTCCATTTTTCAAAACTAAATAAACAAATAATAATAGTTTTGTCTATTCACTCGCTTCAAGATGGATTCTGTAGTTTTGATTGAGAAATCAGAAACATTGGAGTTCAGCTATGCTAGGATTTAGACGTGTATCACTGATGATATTAAACAATTGTCATGCTATGTTGCAAACTGATTTATATTGGAAATGTAAATCATTGGATTTCGGCAACTAAAATACTATTCGAAACAATATCAATTCCTTTACTGGATCGCATAAGTGGTTTAGTGTGTACACCAATTTAGAGAACATTTTTTAACCTGTATTTGTTCGTCCAACTCACACCCAAAAAAGAGATCGATTTGACCTCAAGCTCTTATATGACCTTTAACTGATTTTCAAATAGAAAACCATGGGTTGATATAGCTGATTGCTTCATGCTTCTTTTCAGCAGTGAAGTTGAAATTGTAAAACGATTATTTTCTTTCATAATTCTCGATGATGTAAAAAGAAGACAGTTGGTCTGAAAAATGGGATAAATTAAAGCTATACATTATGAACAATCTGGTCAAATATATTTGAAAACTAATGGAAGTCCTTTAAATTAAGGTTTAATTAACGTGAAGTTATAATTATAAATAAAAGATAGAAAAATAGTGTAATATGGGAAAGATAGGGAATTTTGTTTTGCTATCGAGAAGGACAGCATTTTACTCCTTGCGTCTATCGGATAATTTCAAGCTAACTGATCATGAAACCATCTAGGTACACATCCCATAACTGCTCCCTATTTATGTATTGACATATTTATGTGGATCAGTCTTAGTAGAGTCGTGGACAATTGTAACAGTCAATTTCGTAGTTTTTATGTTTTTCAGATGATTGTTTTTAGTCTCTGTCTCAAAATCATGCCGTTTGATTCTACTTTATAAGGTAGCGCGGTATGAAATCCTTTTCAAAACAAAATCAAGAGGGGATTTAGATACCAACTAACTATTACACGGATTTATAAATTTTAAATATTAATTTAGATATCAATTTAATATCAATGTTTTAGTCATTAGTCTGATATCTAGGTGGAATTCCAATAGACTGACTTGCCGAAAATATTCACCTACAAACGTGAAATGAACTTCGTCAGTGAACAACATTTTTGACAAGTTGATAATGGTGCTATGATTAGTTTTTTAGTCTATCTTAGCTCATGTTTAGGTATCACATGTTGGAAGTAGGACAGGTGATCTCATTAACAAAGTAATGTTGTAAAAGAGGTGCGTTGATGATATCTTCACCATTTGTGTTAAAGATTTCAGTGTTGCTATATTACTAGATAGACTCAATTACGTTCAACATGATACCTTATTAACTTTTGAGGAGTAAACCAACATTCAGACGTCTTTCTTACTCATACGTTTGAGTCTAAACGTTGATGGACCTGTATGTCGACCACTCTTAAGAAAGCCCGCCTGGATATAAAACTGATGACTGTAACGTTCTTCTTGAAAAAAGAACTCACTGTTGTAACATGTTGTAGGATTGATCTTAAAACAGTTTTCATGTTTACAAAACCAATTTGTTCTAACCTTGAATATACTCTAGTAATCTTTAATCCTGAAGTGATATGACACCTTTCTCTTATTTGTATATGGTATTATTTCTTCTAATTATCATTGGATTTATCATTTAAAAGACTTTCATTGATTTCTATATATAAATGTCTTGACAAATGTGTGTGTGATTAAGTTATTTTTTTCAGATCAACTCTGTTTTATTACATTATGGGAAATCAAAATTTTGTTTACTGGGTGATAACCCACTTTTTTCTATCAGGTAACAATACTTATTCAACTTTTGTAAACGAAGTGAATTTGAGCCATGAAATCAAGGTGATCATTCAACGCTTTAAAACGAAGTCGAATATTTATCTTTTCATTTATTCTTGTAAGATTTACCAAGTGTTTAACTGTCCTCAGTGCCTTTTCTGGATTTAATGTCCTACATGATTATCAGTTAGGTGATGGCCTTATTTAGAGAACTACTAAAAGCCAGGAATCACCATACAACTGATTTGTTTTGATTTGGGATCAATCGGCAGTATGCACCAAAATATTGAAACTGTGACTGCTATTACTTTTACTGCTAAAACTTATCCATAAGGACCAATATCTTAACTTCAAATTGTACTTATTTCCAACTTCATTCAGTTCAGAATAAAGCATGACCATCGTCCAGAACTACTACTGACGAGTATGTCAATCATTACTCGTCTAGACTCTACCGGTCAATACTTCTTAATATAAATTCCATAAACCATCTCAAGGCATATCACTTGATTGTATTACACATATTTTTATTTTGTTAAGAGATTTTGTAAGTGACCCGATTGTTGATGAAATTGTAGATTTGTACTCTATTGAGAATTTCTATACTAAAACGAAGCTGCCGTTTAGTGCTCCCTAGTTTTCAGTGATAATTTGAATTGAACTCATATTAAAATAACTATAATAAAATCACTTCACCTAAACTGTAATTAATGAGTAATAACCTCTTATAACGTTCGATTTTACATAGTCTAATGTTATCAAGGTCGAGTTTACACGTTTACACGTATTGGACGTTAATTTACCTTAGACGAATATCTACACTAGATTCCCTTCCAGTGTCTATTCTACAGGACGTCAACAGAACTCAGATCAAGAACACGTGATTAGCCTGACGAGAACGTAAATATATTTTCACACCAAAACTCGACACAATCCAACAGCAATCAATAATAATAATAAGCATAGGGGAATATATACCTCATCTGACATCTCTCAGACAATCAACATGTCTGTCTAAGCAAACGACCATTCACCATCATTCTCACCCACACATCATAACCATAAAGCAGCATCAACATTATGTTGATATTTTCAATACCAATCAATCGTAAAACAATTCATTTGTTTATCTCCACATTTTTTTTTACTTTTTATTAATTTAAAATATGAAGAGTGTAAACTTTCTGGTTTCATTCTTTGAAAATCGTTTTTGTATTACAATTTCAGTGGATTTCTATACCATTTGCTATGGTTAATGAAGCAACAGTGCCAATTACACAAACATGGGATAAATGGAAAGGTAGTGTTAATCCAATGGATAGCTTCTTTTATGTGGACAACTTATTGATGTTAATTTTTGGTGGTATACCTTGGCAAGTTTATTTTCAGGTAATTTCTGTAGTATTTCTAGCTTGTAAAGTATTTACAGTTTGAATTTATCAACAATATTCTATATTAGAACTTATATATACGATATAATATACAAGTTACTGTTTGTTTGGTAATTTAAAGACCATACATCATGGTTCAATTCGTTCGGAGTTATCTTCGTGTTGAATTAAGGAGAGGAATATTCTTACAAATGCGACTTGCTAACCAGTTCCAAAAAAGACGAAACTAAGGTGTAGGACTTTCTATCTATTGTCTTTTCTAACGATTATATAATACAAATAGAATTAAACAACATAAATGGTGCAAAACTACGCTGTAATGGATTTTCAAGCCAGATTATGAACTGCTTTAATTCAATTGGTTTAAGCAAACATCTATTATTCCAACCAAATTCAAATTTGTGCTCTTTAATATCTTCTTTGTCAGCATTTCTTTCGAATAAAAGATCTGGAACTTGGAGGTTCCTTGTTACCTTGTCATATCATAATGTATGAAACTGAGATTACTATAATAAGAAAATATGATTTCTGGAAGTTTTATCACTTCATGAATAAATTTACTAGGTTTGCTTAAAGTACTTAGTGGTAAGGCAAAATAAAAGTTCAACATGGAACAACTAATCTCAGTTGCGTAATTATTTCGGTAAATATTTAACATGTATGGAAAAGCTTGATGAAATTGTACCTTAGATTTATTTCCGAACTGTCTCTCTTATTGACGGTTGTCGGTGTTTCAGCAACTCACTTCTTAATAATTAAAAAAAAACTGGGTACAGCTTTACAGTTAGTCACAGTAATACAACTAATACTAATGTTAGAAAATCCAACTTTCCTTCTGATAAGTCGAGCTAATTGAATGCTATATTCCATTCCTAAGCTATTCTCGTAACCCCGAAGCTAGAACTACACAGGGACCCGGACACGAGAGAAAAGGCGCGAAACACGGAAGATGCACTTTATTCCAAATATTCGTTTTAGTACAGAAAATATGGGGTTTTTATAGTATTTAGATGTCCTTGGGTTTCCCAAAAATTCTGGAATGCTATTAAACATAGCACAGTATAGTAATCAGCCAATCAGAAACTCTACCTTTGACTTTTCATTTTCTTGATGTTACTGGCTAAACTTCTACTGAACGCTTATTGGATAAAACGCTTCTTAGTGTTTCCTGAGCCCTTCTTGTCTTTTGCGAGAAGTTTTCTGGATCACCCCAACAGCTTCACTGAAAATTAATGTACAAGATAAACCAACAAATAATTCACTTGGTGTTGTATTACTTGTATCTTCCCATTTTTATTTAGGACTACAATTGATCAGTCTCTTATTGGCATATGTGCGTCCTGTGCGTATTGCCTTAAGTCACAAACTTTTTAAGTAAAGATGGATATGGGCTAGCAGTGGAATCCAGTTTTAAGCTCATTTCGTCCCGGACTGAACATCAAGTCTGAGATGCAGGTACATCGAGCTGACGAGTCCCAAATAGGACGAAATGCGCGTCAAACTGGATTCCACTATTCATCAATAAATAATGTCTAAAATAATTAGTTCTTTTCATAAATTTAAAAAGATGAAAATTATCAGAACCACGTGATATACTAGCACAGTACATTTCGATTAATATGATCACACATATACTTGTTAAGAAAACTGTAGGTATGAAAACTACACATGTGTGTGGCCACACATACATGGGGAGTAGTAGTCGTGATTTATAAATTAGTGTTTTTAAACATATGCCAAAATGGTTATAGAAACAGATAAAATCAAATGATCCAATAAAAGCAGATGATAAACTCCCGATTCCTACGGCTAAACACATAGTTGATGCAGGTTATAGCACGGATCTTAACTCAATCTGTATGGTTTGTGAAAAGTTAATAAAATCTTGAGAATTCAAAACCTATTTATGTATTCATAAACACTATCAGAAAGAGTTTTGTGGAGATTATAGTAATTTCAATAGTCGAGATCATGAGTCAGTTGAAGCTAGACCACCATGGAAAACCTGGAAGCACTGGGTGGCCGTTGCATCCTATTATGGGACTCCTCAGCAGTGCGCATCCACGACTCCGCCTCACGAGATCCGAACCGCACGTGAGCGCTTAACCTCTAGACCAATGAGCTGGCCGGCATCCAACGGTGTTATCACATAACTCTACTAATCTTTGTCTTATTACTTAAACAATATTACATTTATTGTTAAGTATTAAATGTGCAATATCACTGCAAATTAAATTGTGTTATTGTATGGATAATAAATATTCATTGTATATGGAATGCTCATAACTTATGATACTTTTTTTTATCAATCAAACCAGCGTGTACTATCTTCAAAAACTGCAAATCAGGCACGTATTTTAAGCTTTGTAGCTTCAATTGGATGTTTCGCTATGGCAATTCCTTCAGTTTTAATTGGAGCTGTTGGAGCAAGTACAAGTATGTGAATAATTACTTAGTATATACTTAATTTTATATAATATTTACTCAGCGAAATTTCATATTTGTTCTTCATTGATTAACTATTTCATAATAAATCATATATATATTGAGCAATGGATACTCCTTTCACCTCAGTATGATTACCTTCCAATAGCAGACACATTTAACTGAATCAAGCTGTCTTCAAGTTTTATAGCCCGCATGATCCCTTTTAAACCCAATAATCAATCTTTAAGCATTGTTGTCATTGAATGATTGTATTTAACCCAGATTCTTTAATGTAAACTTGAAGACAAACTTTAATCAACGTACTATTTTCATAGTTTTATAAAGGAACTTATATAGTGACAAAAAAATTTTTTCATCACGGACTTAATCATTTAGTATACTGTGTTCAATCTCTTAAGTGTTTATGCATACATGTGCATTGTTTACAAGTCTTAAAATATGTCTCAACAACTGTCTTGTTCTATCTGATTGTCAGTTGTACTTTTGTGAATGAGAACTATATTTAAACTGTACACATCACTTGCAAAAAACACATTAGTGAATAATAATTTTAATAACAATAATGATAATATTAATAATAATGATACAATATGTTTCATTAATTCAGAACAAGCTAGCTAAATGATAAAATGAATTAATAGTTACTTTATTTATTTATCATGAACATGAACCGATTGATGTCAGACCGCCATTAAAAACCTGGAAACACTGGATGGATTCCGCTAGCGGGATTGTGGATACGCATTGATCAGGAGTGCCACAATAAGACGAAATGGCCACCCAGTGCTTCCAGATTTTTGATGGTGGTATAACATCAATCTGTTCACAATCTCAATCAAAAACTTAATAATCTCCACAACCCTATACTAATAATTTCAGAAAACTTTCTAAATTTAATCAAATTCACTATCACTAAAATAAGAAGAAACAAAAAGTATGTGCAATTAAACAGCAGTGACTTAATTAAATTAATCAATAAAGAGAATGAAACTTTACTAGAAATGCACTGATTATGCATTACAAATTCTGATCCTTCATTAGTACTTTTTTTCTTTTAAACAAAGTCTTAATTTATACTGAATTGTTAATTGGATTCTCAAGGAAAAACTGTAATGTTCACATTTTAAAAAACATCGAACAAAGAATTAATACCAAGCTTTTTTTAAAAAAATTCTTTCGTTTATTCAATTATTTGAAATAGACCCTACAAAATGGATAACTATTTTTCTTTCTGATTGATGTTACACTACCATTGAAAACCTGGAAGCAGTGGACGGTCATTTCGTCCCATTTTGGGACTCATCAGAGATACGCATCCTCGATCCGCTCGAGAGGTTCGAATCCAGGGCCTCCGGTCTCAAGCGCGAACACTGAACCTCTAGACCACTGAGCCGGTCGGCATACAACGATGTTAGTGTCTAACTTCAACCACTTCACGAAATTGAGCGAAAAATCCACCTTTGTCTTCATTGAGTTACTATCCTACAACAGACCCGGTTGGACTCCACTAGTCACGGCTTCTCACCAGAACTCCTAGAATTCCCTCACGGAACTAATCACTAGTGAGCACATAGTAGTTATCAGTATGGGATTGTGGAGATTACTGAGCTAAATATTTTCGCAGAAATGCTATTTTGTTCAGAAAAGATTGGGTTTTACTTTAGTGTCTAATAATTTAAAAAATTACTTGTTGCCCATTTGACGATAGAATCCTTTTAAACTGACTGGTTGAATGATTTGATATTAGAAAGGGGTTTTGTGGAGACTTTAATAATTTCAATAGTCGAGATCATGAGTCAATTACAGCTAGACCACCATGGAAAACCAGGAATCACTGGACGGCCGTTTCGTCCTAGTATGGGACTTTGCGGAAGTGCGCAACCACGATAACTGTGAATGATTTAAAACATCTTTTAAGGATGATGCAGATATTATTAACTCCATTAGAAATGACTGACACAAAAGTATGAGATCTTTCACATAATAATAAAATTGATTACATCTATACAGTTCACAAATGTATTCGTTTATCCAATCAATTGAACTCAAGGTCAGCGGGGTGGCAATGAACCAACATCATAAAATAATAACTCAGAAGCCGACCTCAATTAAGTTGGTCTAATTATACATAAGCTTATTCCTATCAAAATTTATTCCGATAAAGTAAATGAATTTAAAGTCATCATAATGTATATAGTTGATTATCATGACTGTAAAATGATTTCATGTAAACAAATGGTTAAATACGATATTTGTCGATATACATTTTAGAGTTAAAGGGTTCCTACTAATTCTAGCATGCTTACTAACTGAAGGGAACCACCAATCAGCAAATACGACATATACACTTTTTGGAACTGACTTGCTCACTATACAACACTGTGGTTGAAATTCGCCATGGTACAATATATTAGAATTACAAACATAAAAGTCGATCTCAATCTATCCTAACATCCCAGATGTCCCCTATCTTCGATAATGATGAACATTATAGTTTATCTTACCATCTAACATTTGGGTCGAATTTTTCTCCTAATACTGTTCAGCGAGTAAACTTTCAAATTTAAATATCAGTCATAGTTATTTAGTTGTAACATCGAGTTAAGTACTTGTGTAATATTTAGTGTAAATAGCTAAAGTCGCTTATCGACTGACAAGATTTTATCATCATTATATTACGAAAACAATAATTACATCTATTTATCCGTCAGTTGAGAACCTTTAAAGTAATCTTATTTTCTATTAAATTGAGAGGTCTGCCAGGCTAGATGAATAAGACTCTCCACAAAAATATCGGGTTGACCAACTTGACATAAAATTTGCCTACTGAAAACGAACTATTTAAAAGTTCTTCAAAATAATAAGTCGTTTGATACAGGAAGAACCCTGGAACCTAGATTTTATATTATCTGGCACTCATGAGCAAGGCATCTTGGAACTTTTGAGGAAACTGACCATCGTGGATTCACTCAGGTCACGATTGACCCATTATAAGATTAAAATGTTCACATATCAATTTATCAGTAATTAGTGACCAATATTATGTTTTCTGGTTGGAAACACTCACAAAGAAACATCTGAATTTCTTATCTCAATTCCGATTAATTGCTTTAACACTAGTTAAGATAGCTTCAGGAAAATGAAACGATTAATTTGTCAGTTTGATGTTCACAATATAAGGGTAATTCCTTGTAAATTAACATGTTCTCAATAAAAATGAATTTCATATAAGCTCGCTTATTCTCGAAATATAGCAGAAGTACCACAGTACATAGGAGATTGACTTTAAAAAGATTCAAGCTTTGCTTTACTCAACTCTGTATGAGCAAATGGCGAGTGCTTTCTGATTGCATATGGCAACTATGGTTCTATGTCTTGTACAACTAAGGTATAAACTTATTAAATCTGATTTGTCAATTTTCAAGTTGAGAATAGTAGCTTCAGCTTAATTACCATTTTTCTGTTGCTCTTTTCTGTCAACAGATTGGACTATGACAAATTATAATACAACTTCAGAATTACCGAATACACCAGAAGAAATGAAATTAATTCTACCATTAGTATTACGTTATCTATGTCCACCATGGATATCATTTGTTGGTTTGGGTGCAGTGTCAGCTGCTGTCATGTCTTCGGCAGATTCATCAGTTCTATCTGCTGCATCAATGTTTGCTAGAAATGTTGTCAAAGCGATATTTTGGCAAAAAGCAAGTGAAAAACAAGTTTTATGGATAATGCGTACAAGTATATTTGTTATTGGAGCATTTGCATGTTGGTTAGGTATTAGTATTCAGTCAATTTATGGTTTATGGTATTTATGCTCAGATCTTGTCTATGTTATTTTGTTTCCACAATTGATTTGTGTTCTATATGTTAGATTTTCAAATACTTACGGTTCGTTATGCAGTTATTTGATTGGTTTATTTGTTCGATTAACCAGTGGAGAAAGTGTATTGAAATTGAGACCATTAATTGCTTATCCTTATTTTGTTGATGATCCAAATGACTTTTATCAACGATTCCCATGTAAAACATTTGCCATGCTAATCAGTTTTATAGTTAGTGTCTGTATTTCATATATCACGGATATTTATTTTCGAGCTGATTCAAAACGTCTAAAATATGATATATTTCATTGTTACAAAGAACGTCAATCTATGACAGGTTCAATACGTATTGGGAATCGTTTTAATCGACCATCAATTAAGACTACACGATTACCGCGTAAAGGTGAAAAATTAGAAGTTATTAATGATGATAATATACAAGAATTAGAAACAATGCAAATTGTAACAAGCGCCATAACTGTAACTACAACTACTGCATCTAATTCAAACAATCTAAATCCACATAAACCAGTGGAAATAGTTTCAATGAATAAATCAATACCAAAGAAAATCAATGATAGTCTTGATTAAACTAATTCACTCACCTCAATATTGGCAAGCAGTTTTAAATATATTACTATAACCATCAAAAACGAAACCATTTCCCTTTGCATACATTTAAACAAATAGCTTACAATGACAGAAAATAAATAGATTCCTTTTTTTTCTTTCAAATATATTAAAATCTGTTTATTTAACATTCGATTTTAGCCTTTTTATTTTAATTCTTTATTACCGTTGAAATTTTATTTATCTAAACACATTTGTTTATTTGTAAACATTGTAATTATAAATAATAATAATAATAATAATAATAATAATAATAATAATACATGAATGATTTATTTATTTTGATCGTTAATTATCTTTCCAGTGATCTTCTACACCTTCTAAACCGATCAAATTTTAAGGTTGTGATCATTAAAAATTATTATGAAAAAAACCCCAAATCAAATCAAAGTTGTGATAATCTTTAATTCAGATCATTATTATTGTTATGATTATTATTCGTTTTTTTTTCGCTACTTTTCTTTTCCTTTTTTTTATTTTAATGATTATAATTAATAGTTGTGATATGAATTAATTATTTATAATATAAAATTGAATTTAGTTTATACAATTCATTATTTAATTATTTATTAATTTATTATTATTCATTCATTGTAATAACATTGTTGATTGTTTAATGAATATGTTCAATTAATGATTTAATCAGGAATTTCATTTAGTCATTATTACCGAGTGTTATTTTATTTTCTTATTGTTTAAATAAACAATAATGAAGCTTTTGGTGTTTGTTTGTTTTTGTTTTTTTTTTGTTTGGTTTCTAAAAAAAGAAAAAAAGAATTCTTAAAATAATCTATAATATTTATTATTATTATTATTATTATTATTATCTGTCTTCTATTCTCATTGGTTGTGAATTTTTATTGATTGATTACGATACTTATTTTATGTTTATTGTCTTGGGTAATTGTATTATTCAGTACATTATCCAATGTATTATTTAATCTATAAACATTTGTTTATCTTTTACAATAATTCATTTAGAAATGTTATGATATTATTTAAATCTTCATTGAATGTATTTATTATGAACCCTAAATATGAAATAATCTTTATATTGATCGTATAATTTATGAAAACAATACAAAATACTCATATATACTTATTTATCATTACTTTATAGAGAGAGAGAGAAGGAGAGAGAGAGAGACAGAGATAAACACATTAGCAACTCATTCACTCATGTAAACACAGATATAATAAGAACAATATTATTGTTTATTAAACAGACAATTAAACTCATATCAATAAAATCTTATGTATCCAATAAATTGTTATGTTATTTGTGAACTATTGGTAAATTATGTTAGTATTTACAATATTCATAAATATGATTCTGAATATTAAAAGAAATCTGTAAATTTAGAATAGTCACAGCCAACTTAAGATCTCGCATTGTTGTCATGCTACATTAAAATATTGAAATAGAATACTAGTAGGAATATCAGAGGATTTAAAACCATTATGATAATGTGGATTATAAAATAAAATTAATTAATAAAACATGTTTAAAAAGGAATGAATTCATATAGTAAAGGTATTAAATTGAATTCATATTTAATAATTTCAGAGAAAATCAAGAATAAATCTATCTGCGTCATTCCAACCGATTCTAAGTCAGGTCACCTGAACATTTTAATTACTGACCATATTTATCACACAGACTCTTTTATAAAGAGCCTGAACACAAGACTCAATGTCTCACTTTGGCTCACCCCAGCTTTCCTCAAGCTTTATTCTAAGCTACACAACACTGTGAAATGAAACGGGCAATATATAAGTTTACGTAATACATGCTCTAAACATCTGAGTGGATAATAATTTGTAGACTTTAACATATATATATATATATATATATATATATATATATATATGTCTCATATTCTCAATTTTTTGTTCATAATTGATCACGATATCACTTTATTTATTTATATTTCTATGACCTTCACTGACCTTTAATTATTGTAACAAAAACATTTTAATAATCTTAGTACATTCACGTTATAATTTCTTAGTAACTTATTAAGTCTATTGTTATTATTCATATTCCATAATCTAGCATTATAATCCTTCTATTACGTCATCTTGGTTATTCCTTGTTCACATTTCCTCACGGAACTGGTACTTTAACAAATATTTTCATATATGTATATATATATATATATATATATATATATATATATATATATATATATATTTATATATACAGTTGGAAAAGTGCAAGAATAACAGGCAGCACGTGTTCTAGTAGCCATTGAACATATAAATCTGCGGTATCTTATTATTATAATGAAAAGGAAAAAATAATTCGTCTCCGTAACTAATTCATACTCAAAATGCTAGTAAGCAAGCAGAGTTGGTCGTCTCTGGTCAAGAACGAAGTCTACACATCAATCAAAAGAGGAAAATAATAACTGCATAACAATGCACACAACAACCGTTCATAAGTTACAATAATTTATTTTCTGGTGTTATGAATACTGTAACATTGTGGTAGTCAAACGAGCGGATTACAGTGTGATTAAGCAATAATAAACGGTATAGATATTACCAATTTCTTGACAAAAGCTAGATTTGTGTCCTATCGTTTTATTGTCAGTGATGTAGATCATCTTACCACCGAATGCCTCCATGAAATCCATCACAATACATCTCAATACGTCTCTTTGCTGCTTTACAATCAGAAGGAGAAGATATCTGATCAAAGCTCATTTATGGCAGGATTAAATATGCACGTCGTCTTTATAGGATTGCTAACCAACAAAATTCTGTTTCGGACTTCTGAAAAAGACAAGAATAGAATGTTCCCCCGTTCATATTACTAATCCGTCTCCTTGTGTCTTTAATGCCAACCACTTTTAATTATCTAGTGAAGCAATCTGTTTGCTTACGTAGGTATTCTCTTAATTTTGACTGAAAATGAGATTTTAACTTATGCATATTTTGACAGTCTACGTATCTACTACTATATACGTCTATCTATATCAGTCTGTTTAAATCACTAAGCTACAACCTTTGGTGGAAGCTCGTACACTCAAAACAGTATAAAGCTCTTGTCTTCGGGAAATCGTGACAATATACAACAAAAAATCGTTTCATCATTGCTTTCATCATCATTAGTGATTTAACTAGACTTTAATCTTCAGTACCACCTTAATGTCTTAAATACAAACAGCGTGCAATAACATACAAATTTTACATAAATAATTATCTTCCTAATTCGTAGTTTTAGTCCAGCAAATCGTTCTCGTTTGAAGGGTTATTGTTATCTCCATATTCGATCTACTCATTTCTACAATGCGTTTGAACATATGTAGCATTTATGTAACGAATGCTGTTAAGATAAAAGTGAGTTTTCCTGAGATTATTCATTTAAAACCTTGCTCTTTCCCAATGACAAATTATGAATATCTAGGAAACTGAATTGGAGTGTCCAAATGAAATCTGAATGGGTTTACTGCTAAGACTTAATGGTCCATGTATACCAACCAACTGACTGAGTCAATGACTTGACCTATTGGGTATCTATTTCTCAACTAAACTCACACCAGATGTCTCCATGCATTCTATTCACCAAACTAACGGACGAATTTTTTAGCATCATAGTAAATCTTTCTACCCTTCCATGAAACACGGTGTTTACCAACATTCTTGCGACAGTAAAGGGAGAACTTTCATCTACATGTCATTATCTCTGTAGTCAGTTTGTGAGATTACGTGCTGGAGATTTGTGGTTTTATGCTTGAAGGCTGTTTTCTTCCTGCCGAGTCTACTTGTACCGGTTTGGCACGATCTTGGTATTCGTCCAATACCATGAGATCTCCAACAAATAAACTTGGTTACGATCTACTATCGCCTTCTGATTTACTTGGTACGCGCTCGATTTGTAGTGGTTCTCATAGTCATTCGCGACTCGACTCCACGCTACAAGGGTTTTGGCTTTCTTCACACAAACATCAGCTTTTCTGTATCTCTTCTGGACATTTAATGAACCATATTCTGTGACTACTTTGGGTCAGGTAGCCTGAATCCAATGGTCAATTGCAGGCGTTTGTTTCCTTCTTTAGCTGTGGCATCATTGCTATGGACTTCTGCATGATTCATACTGTTTTTTTCGACTTATTAATAATCAATTATTAAATCGTTCGAAATTATATAATTTTTGCTTTGTTTTACTTGACAAATTTGAAACTTTTGGCGTTATTTTTGTCGAAATTTTATGGTTGAATGATTAAATTTGATATGCTACTTCAATATCTGATATCTTTGTAACAAACTGGTGTAAGCCAATTGATTTCTTCGCGCTCGCTTCGTGTTGTTTCGGGTACGGCTACTGATATTTGGTTATGTCAAATGGGTGTTAGTCTGGCCATTATTCTATTTACTATGGTGGCATTTGTGGATGATACAAAAAGAGATAGGAAGTGTTTACTTATATGCAGACTGATATGCTTTGAACTTGGCATAGAATCTTTTTCTCAACCCTTGTGATCAGATTCCGTCAAAAAGACCTTCTACTTGTACCAGCCTATCTATTTAGCCTGTGGTAGGCGTTTCGTGACTCACATAATCCGGTATCTTTGCTTTCAGGATCTATCTGCCCTGAGGTACATTATGTTGGATTGCATTCTGAATAATTTGTCTTACTTTCTCCTAGTGATAAACCACTATAAGTCCTCATAACTTTCCAGGCCATGGGACGTGATAAATATTTTTACCCATCACCGTGAAGCCTGCTATGGTGTAGCTAAGGTGGAGAACTTTCTCGTCCTGCCGACGTATTTTGTATACAATCACGTCAAACGTAACTAAATCAAAGTCTCTATCTCCTACTGGTGAGTGGATATGGGCATCCTCAACTAGAAGCTAATCACTTATCAGTAAGTAATCTAATTTTGAGGGTTTCTCGTCCTTGTACCAGCTCGTGGCGCCGCTAATATTTTCAGTTGTTTCTGAACATTTTATGGCTGTGATGAGCCTCAGATGAAATCGTCACACACATACGGTATCCTGATTGTTGAGATTTAGGGAAGAAAGGTTAAAGTCTCAAGCTACAGTTATTTGGCCAAAACTCAGGTTTAGTAACGTTATTATCACCCGTATTTTCTCATCTTTCTGGGTTCTATAACCTGAAGGAGGTAGGTGTAATTTTTAAATCCAGGACTTCATGACATTCACATCGAAGCAACTCGATCATGATTCTGTACTGTGTGATGTTAAGGCCTTAAAGTGGCTGTTATTGTATATCTCCACTCCACCTGCTTGTGTACTCTTTCGCATAAGAAAATTGTTATGTTTTGTGAGCTCACTTCTTCGTCTAAGGTGTTGAGTGGTGGCCTGGTTGCAGTCAAGGCTATGGTCTTTAGTTCCAACCAAAATCACATGTTTTTGACCTCTTCTAATTATCCCCTAGTTATCTTACGTTGCTTAAAATACACTTAATAGTTTCTGATGTTCCCTGGTGTTCTTCTACAGCAGCATCTGTCTTCTAAGCATTAGGATGACTTTTGTTTGAAGTATGTTAGCCAGTTTCGTGCGAAGTGGACACTGTGCATTTTTTCCTGTATAACGAGCTCCTTTACCAAGTCCATAGTCTCTGGGTGCCCCCGAATGCCCTGGTATGGCCGAGAGTGAGGGGGGGAGTCCGCTCCTCCTCTCGAAATGCTCTCACACGGCCACGCGTATACAGCCCTTGCCAGGGAAGTCCTGCTTACTGCCTTCTCGCACAACGGGTGTTGTTCACGAAAATGAGAGGACGAAAAGCGAATGTCCGGCGCTATAACCGGACCCCAAATCAATGGTGCACATGAGCTCCAGTATCCTGCGGGAACAAATGGCGTATGAACCAATCGTTCGTTACCGGCTACCATGGGACTGCATCTCCTCACGATGCTCCACTGCCTTGTGGACTAGACCTTTAGGTCAAAGGCTCGGGGTGTGGCCCCTAAGAAAACCACCTGTTTCGGTTTGGGCACCCGTGCAGTATCACAGCCCTCACACATATCAAATGAGATGTGTGGCGCATATGTATTTGGTGCCTTCTTGTACCGATATCTATGTGTTAAAATAATAATAATAATAAGTCTCTGGGTTCTGTGCGGCGAGTTGTTGGACAAGGTTAGTTGGCACCAAAGTGTGTTTAGTTGGACTTTTCTGCTGTTGTACTACTGATCTAGGTCGGCCTTTACATTCAATGTGACTAAAGAGGTTTCTTGTGAGCTGCACCAAACTTGAAGGACCTCAGTTAAATCCTCTCGGTTTCCGAAGTTCACAGCCATCGGATGAAGAGACTTAATGGTTGTGAGGCGTGATGGATGAGATAGCCTGGACACGCTAGTCACTATATTCGTTTGAAGGCATATGCTGCTTGAAATCTAATGTCAACATCGGATATCGTTTTCTTCGGGTTCATTCAAAATACTACCTACTAGTTCAGGCACGCCGTGAACCACCGTACTGACTGGTTCTTGGATGTTTAGTGACTTTCTAGCATCATCCATTACGGCCTACAACGTGCGGTGTCCAAATAAGATTTGAGAAGATTGTCTCCGGCATGTCAGCAAAAGTTATTTTATAACATGTGGTGAATCTAAAGTTACCTTTAGTGAGAGAGAAAGACTATTTTTTATACGTTTTGGACTTTATACAGGCGGCATAGCTTAGGTTAAGTGATAACCATTCACAGCAATGGACAGTATTTGTTCCACTGTATTTTATCGAAGATGACCCCACTTTCTACTACGCTACTCTCTGACACTAGAAAATTAAATAAAGTCAGGGAGTTTTATTTAACGTCATTGTCCACCATTTTTGCGTTTTGGGAGCTGTGCTTTTGATATATCTCATCCTAACGCCCATCCATTTCTTCTCACTATCGATAGATACTTAGGTGTTAGAAATAGTCATCAGTTACCTTGGTGTATGAGCCCATGTTGTGACTCCCATATTTGAGCTTTTGTCGGACGAATTTAGTATACTGGTGAGGATGACTAAGGTTATTTTTACATAGTTTTAACCTTCTGTTTGTTAGTTCTGTTGTTGTATTTTCTCGTAACTGTGAGCAAATGTTCCTGAACCATGAATAGAGGTGAATTAACATAAAACTATAGTACTGCCCACACACTACTGCATCTTAACGATGGAGATCTCAGCTATTATAGAGACTACATTGGAGTGCTGAGTCACTGGTTTTAACGAAAGACGAGTATGAGATACAAGTATCGTTTTTGTATCATTTCTCCTCAGTACTACCAGGCAATACAGGCAATTTAGGGTGACAATTTTGACAATTTTATTTGTTTGCTAAGCTTACCAGGTATAGGGACCGGTGTAGGTGTGTTGTTTTAGTTACTTAGTGGGAGAACCAGTTTCGGTATTTGTGTTGAGTGATCGATAATGTATAAATTATTCGTAGGTTTTTCTCTGTGTCGACCTGAACTTTATTTATAATTCTGCTGCTGGGAAAGCTATCATCAATCTGTTAATTAAAATTTTTAACTCTGTAAGTCGTCCTTCTAGTTATAGTTTAAGAGTGGGTGGTAGCGCTATTACTTTACATACGTTTTAATAAACTAAAAAGCAAAATGTGAGGCGATTAATGGAGGAAGAATGCGAGACGAAATTTTCGAAGGACGAAAATAATGAAGATAATGAAATGCTTGTTATACGAGAACAAAACCTGTAAGACTTAAAATTGTCACGTTATCGTTGACCAGTTTAACACACAAAGTCAAGTGAATCAGTAAATTAACCACACGTCCTATGTTTACAGGAAAAAGTACATGTATATGTTGCAGCCGAAGCGACTAGGAAGAGAGCAGTTTTTCGAGACAGCAAGACCTATAGCACGATGGTTCAACCTTGGAATGATTATGGTCATATTTGTTATAGTCGTCTGCCAGAAAAGTGAAAACACGGTTCGTATATTTAGAAGCGAGTAAATATTCTAGTATAGTAATGAAAAATGGATATTTCTGATTGTTGATGAGAGATTGACGAGGTCACGTTAAGTTCGAAAGCAAAAAGAGAGCTCACTTCTCGCAGTGTAAGGAAGCTGCAATTTTCAAATTGTAGGAGAAAAGTATTGCATCAAATAGGTAGTTCTATATATTTTTTTATTAACATGATCATTGTATTATAATGACTGCTTGAAAACATAGTTGTTTACTTTCTAACTAACATTACAATAGTTTGTATCCTAACTGTTAGAGTAAATAGCATTCAAGTAGACTTTGTTGAATTTTGCACTTTATTTTTCATTGCAGTACTACATTCATCAATGACTTTGTGCAATTATGCATATGACAATACCAGAAATATTGGTCAGCAATTTACTCTAAATTCTTGGACCATCATACGTAGCAAACAAAACCTCAGTACGGGATCTCTGGAATTGAAATGGCTTCCCGATCTCACTGTGTGATAGTTGTACCATTTCTTAACCATAAAATTCTTGAAGCTGAACATATAATTACTGAAAAGATTCATATTCAACCATGCGACACTAAGAGAGGTCAAGAATTGTGAACTCGGAAACATCCGTTCAATAAACAGGCATGGCGTGGCCCAGCCTTGCAGGCCTGGTCATTCTCACATAACTCATACCTTTCTACACTAAATGTATTCTTCTATTCGCAGCGTAAATATATCCTTCCTAAGTGCCAAACATCATATTGCTGATTGTCATGATGCGACGAGTCACTATGGACAATGATGTGAAATCCAAATATGATGTTATAGATTTCTCGTGATGTGAACGCCCAATAGTGTAACAGAATTATAGGAAAATTACTGCTTTATTTTGTGCCTTATATTAAGGAAGGCAGTTTATAGGTGCATTCTTAATCATGAAACTTACCTTTACAGTTTTAGAAGAAACGAAAACATGTATAGTCTCACGTCTAATTTGAAGATAAGCTATGTTCTGAAGGAGTGTGCAAAGCAACATGTATGAAATCTGGAAGAATATTAGACAGATAAGCTGGTAAATTGATATTTCAAATGCGTTACATTAACCAGCAAATTGTCCTTGTGCTTTATGTTAACCGCTTAAATTGTTTGGCGGGCTCTTTTCTGTCAGCTGATCATCTTCCTTCATTTGTAATAGATTATGAATGTCGCTTGTAACCGTCATGATGACAATTCCCCAATCTTGTTCATCGATTTTAACCAAGATTATACGTACGTAGACAACAGATTTATCTCCTGTCGTTTTTTACACGTAGTTACAAATCAATTTAGACATCCTCGATTTCTCTATAAAATCTCTAAAAACACATTAGAGTAGAAGAGATAGAAGTAGACATCTATGATTGAGTATTTATTGACGTAACTGGCAAAATACTCCAATCTCACTTTTAATAAGCCTCAGGTTTATGCAAAGGTAGTCATAGGATTGATGCCTAGCTCCATATTCATAGTGCATTTCTTTTATCTTGTTAACCAGTTATCTCTTAAGAAGCTAAGTACATGCACTTGAAGTTGATTAACAAGTTGCATCAAATGTCGATCAATTCCTATATGGATAAGATGCAAGTTCGTAAATTCCCATGGCTATTTAGAGTTACATCATCCATTATAAGATTCCATATATTTTTAACATTTTGGTTCAGCATACAGGTGTATGTGTGGCAAGGCGATAATTTGGATATGTGGTCGTTATTCGCTCCATGAATCTAGTCTAGCCTAAACAGTTTTAGTATTGTACTTTCAGTCATTATATAGAAAGATATAAAATCATCTTCATGGACTACTGAAACTAACGTCGATACATGCTCATGTCATCTTCTTTGATTATTGTACTTCTGTAACCATAAGGTACCTTTAGCTTTCACAGGAAATGTTCTAGGCAAAATTGAGCATATGAGGTTTTACTTGGTTAACTAGTCGTATTTCAATATAAGTTTCTCAATTTAAACTTTCACTATTTAGAAGTGTGACAGAATAGATTATACTTTCTATGGATAAGTAGTTATTTTCTAGACAAATACTACGTAGTTTTGTGCTTAGCAATTAATCATAGCTTTCTTGGCGCTCTCCCATTTGTAATATCTAAAAAGCTCTTATTTCACACATCAAAAGTCCTTAATTTTAGATCTTCATAGGGACTTCAAACTTCCTCTCCTTATAATACTAGTGTTTTTATCAAGTACTCAACACAATCGATAAAAAATTGCTTAGTGAAGGGGTTTTACGCATTCATTCAGCATTCCCAATAAACTAAACCTATGTTTACTTTAACATTTTACACAACATAGCACTACAATGATCATTAAATGTTGGTTTTTGTCTTGCTAACAAACCCAAAGTAAGTGGACACCGTGATCTGTGGTACGTCGTTTGCTATGATTTTGTTCTTTATTGTGGAAATTTTTTTAGCTTATCAGCCTCTATAGATTAGTCGGCTACAGAAATGGTTTATTGATTTTGACTTACATAGTGTCACAAAATAAACATGTTTCGACGTCTAAAACGAGATCATAATTCGGCAATTTCGCTTTATCTTTCCTTACTTTATGAAACTCAGCACAAGTGTAATGGTCAATGTTTCCGCTTCTACCTTTACTGTATCACATTTGACTCGTCACAAAATCCTATTGTTTGAAGCGAATTTTTTCTGTTGGATCATAACTATTAATCATAATGCTATTCACATACAACTATGGTTTTCGGCTGTTTCTCATTCATTTTCTCCCCATTATTTTTTCATCTATTGTTAGATTTGTAACAACCCAAGTCACTACCAGTAGTAAACTGAGCCGGTTACTGGTTCAATTGAATAAATATCGCAAAATTGAAATTACTGTCTACCTAAAGTTGTAAACGAGACTACGATATATATCATCCAGAATATTATTCTATAGCTTTATCAACATTCATCGGAGTTTAAATGTTCGAGTAGGATTGTTGACATACATCATGCGTTTCGCTCAGACTCTAGCACATCAACGCCGTAAAGTTGGATTTATCTAATATTTATTACATAATCAGTAGTTGGACCTATTTGGTCCCATGTCGTCATCTATTAATTGCTGGTTGCTCTTTATTTCATGCATTCACATATTTTTTGTTTATCGGTATAATGTTACTCTATTTTCATAAACAGCTAAACTTTATCAGTTACCGGTTTTTCCTCTGCGTTCGACCTTAAACTTAAGTCAGTTGATAGTAAGATGACGGGGCATATGATCCTTAGTCTCAAATCACTTAATCATAGTGTAGAAAAGAATGAGAATTCTACTGCGAACCAGACATGGGACCTGTAAATCACTTGAAAGCTTACCTTTCTTAATTTACACTCAAGAGGTGACAGCTATTATCAATCAAACTTACTTCAATGTATATACGTGCGTATGTGTTTTTTTATCATAGATCTATTCAAGTTGGAACAAAAACGGGATACAGCCTCCTATCAACTGTTGGTGATCAGGTGACTGAGACATTTTCTTCTAGTAATTTGTGTTTCTTATTTAAAAAAATTCCATTTACACAAATAGCCGGTGATCCTATGTGTATTGTTGGAAGATTATTTAATCGAAGCTTGGTTACATTGGTCTCACAGAACGATATGCGCAGGCTACTAGTTGCACATTCCAGAATAAACACATTGATATGCCACTATCGTTATACCCTGACTATATTAGCTGTTAAAATGAATCATCAGGTATGTTGTAAAGATGAATTGAATTGTAAATGTAAATATAACTTTAGTGTTTTTAAATAATTAACACTTAGTATATTGTAGCTTGGTAAATTGAACAGTTGTTGCCAATACTTGTTTTTTTGTTAAGGTGAGTGTTGTTAAGTTCCTCATTTGTGATTTACTGGATAGGAATAGCCGGTTTGTGTTAGATTATGGATTCAGTTGATAATGTTTCAGTTTGAGTGTGATCCTCATCGTCATTAACTGTTTAATTAAAAAAGGCCATCGATAACCAATAAGTACTTCATGGCCGTAGTCACCCGTGATAGACAACTAATCAGTTCACCTCTATAACCCTACGTCAAATCTAATTCAGGATCTTCATATATACACAGTGCTTACATTATCTTTTGGTCCGGACCCCTGCAATCCGTAATTGACAAAAGTTATCACTTCGGTATTCTTTATAAAATGGCTGAAAGTTGAGTCTGTAAATTACAACAGAGTCACCACTTTATTCTTTTTTCCTGAAAACGTATTATCTCAAAAGCGTCGTCATGTCGCGTTTTACCTTGTATGTCGAAAACAATTTTGTTATGCCTTCAGGCCCGTAATTAGGACCAAGTCAGTGTTACTGGTTAAAAAGCCCAATGAGTTGTATATCGGATCGCAGAACAGCCTATCAGTACGCTAGGTTGAAGTGTGTCCAAGTTAAGTGAACCACACGGCTAGTATCTCATTATTCTCAGGGTTTATTTACTACGTATCAAAACCCTCTTATAGGTAAAAGCATGCTTTTACTTAAAGTTTATGCTTTTTATACTTTCTAAAATCTTTAAATCACACAATCATATGACAAAATATTGAATGCGATGACTTAATAAAGCAAAAATATCTATACAAATAGAAAATACTAAACACTGAATTTGAATAGAGTATGTATTTATATGCTTTGTCTACTGGTCATTAGTTGTTATATTCCTGTCTCCATTTTCTCATTTTATCCTTTCACAGCGTTTAGTAGTTTGTGTAGAAGATGGAATATTTATTCATAATATGCGTGATATGCAATTATTGCATAAAGTTGAAGAAACTCCACCTAACCGAAATGGTGTTATTGCTTTATCGGCCAATGAAAGCAATTGCTATTTAGCCTATCCTGGCTCTCATCGTGTTGGAACTGTTTTCATTTTCGATGCATTAAGTTTTCAAGTATGTTAAAGTTATTAATACTTTTATTTTAAACCTCAAGGATTATCAAATCTCTCACTTTTCGGTCATACACTTAAATCAGCCTTAGAGATAGTTTTTATCATCTGAGAAACCATTGGGAAACCATAGAACGCCTGGTGATTGTTTCCTTCTTGTTTGAGACTCCTCAGCATTGCCCACATCTGCAACTCCCCCAAGGATGGAGCCCAATCTTCTCAGCGAGCATGTTACTTTTAAACTACTAAATTGACATCCAATGGTTTACACTTCGAACTCGCAACTATTCATGATGCGACACAATGTTCACATCAAGACTAATTACATATTTCTAAAGCCTGATTAGTGGAAACCTTTTTTATAAAATAACTATGAAATTTTTCCGTGTTGTTTATGGAATAACGATTCACACAGTTATCTGTCCTTTATATCCCATTAATCAAATTAACATTGACTTAAGAATTACCCTAGCGTCTGCTTTATACTTTCACATTCATTAAAATATGAAGGAGTTATACTGTAAGTCCTAAAGATAGTTGATATATTGATTAGTTTTATTAATGGAATGGAGTAAATATTTACATCTAGTCGACCGAAATATTATCAAAATAAATAATGGCTTAATGGTTAAGACATCCAACTTGTAATTACTAAGTCTCAGGTTCGAATTCCGCCCCACCTACTTCGGTTTTGTTAACCGGATAGTATCATTACTCCTCACACCTAATATGGGGCTCGTATTCATGTACCTTGTGAAGTTGTTGACCAATTATTTAATTTTTTGTTAAATAAATACATGAGATATATATTTACCATTTCGATAAGTAATTGATAACATGAAATAAGTAAACAGATGAGTTATTAGGTATATGCTTTTCTTTTTTATATTCACTGAATGAAAGTTATTTACTACACAAGGAAAATACATTATATTTATGTAGCAACATAAATATTTTACCGAACGATGAGAATGATAGTTGTGCAATGCTTTTTTTGCTTTGATCATGTGTGTTGCAGCAACAACGGGTGAAGTCTAAGCTGAAATGCAGGAATTTTATTTATAATTAGTATGTAATGAACCCTTCTAATGTCTAACTCCTCTTTGGTAAAGTATATGGTGATAATGTTTTTCAGTAGGACAATGAAAACTTCTCAACGAAAGCATAAGTCTCAAAGACCAAAACACCTCGAACATATAACTAAAAATCTTGCAAACTCTTTAAGTTACTGACCTATAATATGGAGGATACTGTTTCTTATTATTTGTCGACTTGTCTAATCACGAGTCTTATTGATTCATACTGAAGAGAAATAAATTTTGTCCGTATGATTAAGTAACTGTTGTTTCCGAAATTGTGTTTTGTTGTATATGGTTTCAGTAATATATTTCAACTTGTTAGATACAAATTGACTCTTCTTAATCGACGTAGATGTGTTGAAGAGGTGATATGTCATGTTTGAATGTGTTATTATTTTAATATTCACAAATTATTTAATTACTAGTGGTAACAAGTTTTGTAATTGTCCCAAAAAAATATATTGACTACATCTATTAGATAGAATATCCTTCAATTAGTAAATATATCCTCTTGTGATTTTGATCGTTCTGTATTATCCATTCTATTAGTAAATAAGCATAATAATCATTTGGATCCTTTTCTACGTTGATCACAGGTGAGTAGTGAATCGGCATAAACTAAATACGTGTATTTGCATTGAAAAGATGATCACCGTCCAAATTTTGAGTACGGTTAAATGTGATTCATCTGCTCATTCCCTTAACTCAATAACATGATCTTGATCAAATATCCACTTTCGTAACCATCACCTACCTTGATACTTGTTGTTGGTTGACATAGGAATAGGTTGGAAGGAAACTAGGGACAACCAAGCCAGGATGCCGGACTAATGCATCAAGTGATTGATTGTTAGTTAAAGCCGTTTTGTTAGTTGCAAACTGCCAGGTTGTGTCTGCATGATTATTCTGATCAGTGGTTGAAGATGTTGGGTGACATGAGTCAGAACTGTTCATAACTAAGTAATTGTAGTCATATTGATAATTCCATCTCTCAGTACTGTTATGGTGTAGGTTCAACGTTACTTATAACCAACTGATTGACGTAGCTTAACGTCTTTCGTAGTGACCTAGATGAAATCATTCTTTATCTTTTACTAAACCTCCAGTTTGGATAATATTTTATACTTCATATTCCCTTATTTAATTTTTTTCAAACTATATTCTCTATTCGCAACCTTTTTTTATCTTTGATATCAGTACCGTGATTAATTACGTTGCAAAATTCATGTCGTTGTTCTGATGTGGTTTAACAACTGTGGATGATGTACATTTGTGTCAGTTCGTTGATTGTCGATAATAAGCCAATGGGATTTTAGTTGGTGTTTAAAGCATGTATTTCAGTTTTGCTAGTTTTCTAACGTTGTTATGACCGCTTTTCTCTCTCCGTCATTCATCTATGGCTTTATACAGAATAATTTTAAGGAGTCACTTCTCACTTAATATGTATGAAGTACGAATATTAACTGTTTTGTTTTTAATATAATATTTAAATACTCCCCATATGATATGCACTAGTCAGCAATAATATATCTCATTTACCATGTAGTGTATTATGTACTTGGCTTTGACTGCTATGGACATCAAACCTAAATAGAGCGAGATTCAAACCTACCATCTGCTGAATGATATAACCACTAACTAAAACTATCGTTTACTATGAGAATAGGGTATTTTTACGGGCTTTGGATCTTTATCCTAAGTAGAAAGTATTAAAATGGGAAAAATGTTTCTTTTCTGTATTTGAGCTCTCACATCACATTTATCACAAATACATAGCGTTTTGAAAACTCCCCGACTGTTTCACCAAAATTCTATATATATATATATATCAACTCATGTATTATTTTCTTGGTCATATGATTCACGTGGATTTCATGGTAATGTCGGTCATTTGATCTCTTCAAACTACTTCTTGCCTATGAAAATTAATTGATTGTTTTGCCACTGGACAGACTGTGGAATCAATATAGTTTAAGTTGATCAATAACTAGTATTATTTCAGTTTGTTGATAAATAATAGTTTTATTGTACTTAAAATCGTTTGATATCCCTCTCACTTTACGGAATGAAAACGCGCTACATAAGCTTTCATTTCAAAATCCATAGAGCATAGTAGTTAAGGTCATTAATATTCAACCATTAGAGTTGCAAGTTCAAAATCTTGACTATTTACTTTGATTTGGGTAGCTGAGCGGTTCTTGGAGGTGTTGTGCTCTTCGATGTGAATGGTTTAGCTATGAAGTTTTGATTGTCCTTCTAGACAACATCGTCAACATATACTTCTAAATGAAGTGTATTGTCAAAATGTATTCATAATTGACTAATAGCTTGTCGGCTGTTTGATTCTGTCCTTTTCGATGTTTGTTGATCGATGAGTATCTTGAGTCAATGAAAACCCTGCGACTAAACTAACTAGGCCAGAGAACACAACACCTCCGAATTCGTATCCTAAGTTACAGATATTTCCTACCATATTTTTAAACAAGGATTGTTGGTGCCTAGCAATGGAATTCAGGACTCGCGTTTCATCCTATTCGGGACTCATCAGCTGGATATACCTGCATCCATACTGTTACGGATTCCACTGCTACTCATCATCCATCTCTGATTAAAATGCTCGCAACTGAATGGCAATATCGCGGCGATTTTCACAAGATTTACATATACCCAAAGATCTATTGCAGTCCCAAACATCAATGGGAAGATCCGAACAACCAATATATATATATATATATATATATATATATATATATATATATATATATATATAAATTCTCTTAGCTGACTAGTATCACTGCTTCATGTACACAAGAATATAAGGCTCGTGCACCAAACAAATGAATTTGTGGCTGTTCATTAAGGTGAATTATAATAAATGATAGATAATCAACACTAGTTAGAATGAATTTTGTCTAGATTTTATGCTTCCCGTTCAACACTATAACTCTATCAAGGAAATGAAGTCAACGTAAAGACTAGTTTCGCTTCTTCTCCACTCTAAAATAGTTTGACTTTTCCACCATTATCCATAGTATAATGGAGACCTAGATTCTATGTCCCATTCATGTTATAAATAAACGAGTGTGAACTGGATGGTTGTGACTCAGGATCAATTCAACTGTTCTTTTAAGTGTTTCATTCATCATTGCACAAGAGTATGTTCTGAAAGCTTACCACTAATTCTTATCTCCTGGTGACAATCAATCTAACTAACTTCTACTTTTCTCAGATATTTTTTCCAGCTTTTTCTGTGGTTTTTTTCATGGGGTCGAACTAATGGTCTTTAGAATTTGAGCAACTAGTTGTTCACATTCTTAAGTTACGTAATTCTGTGATAAAAACCCTTCCTCATCTAATATTATAGATGATATCTGTATCACTCCTGACGACGAAATTAGCCTCCACTAGTCACATGTGTTTTCATTTGAACTTCAAGAATTTATGTCTGAATTAGTCACTAGGTGGCATACAGTGATTGTTTAATGTTGTACACATTATGGAGACTGGTACAAATTCGCAGATAGTCTTTTTGTTATTTCTAAATGGCTCAAGTCTCTTGTTTGCTTTGAATGTTTTTTACACTTTAGAATGTTACATCTATCGCTGCCCATGATGGTCTACTAGCATGTCTTACATTTAATGCGAGAGCTAATTTATTAGCGACTGCATCAGAAAAAGGCACTGTAATACGAGTGTTTTCTATTCCACAAGGAGAAAAAGTGATTGAATTTCGTCGTGGACTTACTCGGTAAGTAAAATATTCATTGATTTTTGATTCCATTTGACTAACGAAAGATGATATCGTTCATCAACAGAGTGTCCTCTGTATAAATCAACCCTATATGGTCTTGTACTTGAACACTTGTTACTTGACTTTACCTCCAGAAGCTTCTGCACTTAAATCCCAAAACGAAATGCGAAATGTGTTAAGTGTAAGAGAGACCTTTTCACCAAGTCTAGTTCATGTATGGGATCTTGAGCTTCTGGAAATCACGTTTAAATCGGTAATAAAACTGGTAATTATCGAATTAGGATAATGGAAACATTATGCATCATTTCTTTCAGAATTCTCTTGAATCTCTATAAAGAATGCTGGTTGATTGAAGCATTCGCAACATTTTCCTGGCTTCTAAAGATTTGGTTCACTCAATTACATTCTTGAGAAAATTCTGAAGATATTTAAGTGTTGCGAAAAAACAAAATGTATTTCAACTGTTATTTCTCCCTTTCAGCTGTGTATCTATCTGCTCTCTATCATTCAGTATGAATAGTCAATATCTTGTTGCCGCTAGTCATACAGAAACAGTGCATATATTCAAATTGGAAAGTCGTTCGTAAGTAATTAATATCATCCACTATGCTTCTTACTCTGCTCTACATCATATATATCAAAAGAATTTTGATTGCATATTATATGCATAAATGTGAATTTGTTGTTTGTTTATTTTTCATCAAAGGATATGCGAGTATAGTGTAGTAGTATCTCTTATTGGTTTGCATACATGTCACTAGTAATTATTATCAATAGTAGTAACATATAATTTAACACCTTTACTATTGTACGATATCTTGCGCATTCTTTACATAATGCTAGTCCGGTTATTCTTCACCTACTATCTACATACAATTAACTGTCATACTTTCGGTGGAGATCTACATATTATTAAATGATAAGATATTAATGAACAGATAGGCATGCAAAACACAGATTATTCCTTAAAACATTAATGTATTGAACCATACTCCGAACAGTCAGTCAGTCAGTCAGTAACAACGTAAAACTTCGTGCGTACGTACATCAGTTCGAGTTGCCATACCACATTAGCACACAGATACAATCGTCGATTCAAATCCCGTAGTGTTAGAGGTAGTAATAAATAAGCAATAATCGGAAAGATTCGAGTTTGAAGATGATATTCAAGAAGTATAATCCAGTGAAATAAGTTTGGAAAGAGAAAAAAGAAAGGGACATGAAGAATTCAGAAGATTAGAATTTGGGAGAATACAAAGAGTGGATGCACCCGCGCCCTTGCAAACAATTTTGAGCCATGTCATTCTGGCCACCCCTACCTTTCTTCCAACCTACTCCTATATCATGGAACAAACTCAGATTAGCAATCCAATACTTTGATTTATTTTCGTGCATTTTATCTCAGCTAACGCAACGCCTCAAAGAAGACATTACATTTGCATTCATAAATCATACTGAGTTTATGTTAATTCACAACTGATTTCTCTCATTGGGTCATTGTAATCAGTGTCGCTCTTATTCGTAATGATGAGTTTTGTTATAACGCGTGATCCGCCTATTGGAGAGCAGCCTATTATCGATCGAAACAGTGACGCACAAAATACGAGCGAGCAGCCTAGAGTCCTGATTGGTCCTGCTTCCCTGTCTAGCCCAGCCAGTTGAGTCCAGAACACAAGTCTCAGCCTCGGAGATATGAATCATTATATTTCAAACATACTCTGTTTATATAGCAATCAAACAGACTACATCGTACCATAAAATAGAAAGTAACATTTGTACAAGATTTAACCTTCAGGAAATGACCCAAATAAATATAGACCAATAGGGAAATGACACGTCGGAAGAATGTTGACCAATGGGGCAATGACGCTATTTCTCATTCAGGAATAGCACTAGATAATTTCTGGGGTATTTTCTGAATACCCCAACACCTCCCCTTCTTTGAAGATCCGGACCTGATATCCGGAATATAAGTTTCCCGGGTCCATCCTCCCCCACGAAATAATGTTGGGTCCTCATATACCCAAATTACAATTAGTTTGACTGTATTTAAAACATTTTGAACAGCGGATCCAGTAAGACAGACCAGATAGTGAGGATAAACACCATTTAGTTCGAAGTCATCGGAGTTCGAATCTTTAGTAGATAATGAATCACTATGATAATCAGCATTCAACAAAACTGCACGAGGTTCTTGATTAACGTTTGATGCATCAGACAAATTTTTCTCATTTTTATAAGAAATCTGATCGAAGGCATGTGAATCATTTAGATAACTCATTCCTGATAGAACAACTAGAGAACCGCGATAAGTAGATTGATCAGATGCTATTGTCATAGAATGATGAGCTGCATTTGGTGCATCTGTCTTAATTATGCTGGTTGATTTATTTTCTGTTTGTTCGTGGGCGGCTACTGCAGTAATTCCATTAGCATTGAATAAGACGTCGATTTCCTGTGAGCTGTTTGTACATGGCGCTTCAGGGGCAGTGGGATTTGAACCCACGACAGGGCATGTCTCTGGAATGGAAATTTCTGGATCTCTTGGCGGATCATGAATGACTGCTTCACTTACATTACTGCTCACCAAGGATTCATAGAGGCTTTTATCAACACATTCATATGTACTGCATTCAATTTCCAGCTCGGTATGCAAATTAGAAATTAATTTATCAACTTCTGTTACATCTCCAAAACATGGATGATTTAGCAGCCGTGAGCGTAAATTGTCTAAAACATTCAACTGGCTATTTCTGAAACGCTGCTGCTGTCGCTCAAATAGTAACTGTAATTGATCGGGAGAGATAGCCATTTTCTGAATCAGCACGGTAATGAGAAATGCTGTATGATTAATTAACAACCAATGTCTTTCAAGGACGCCGATGACAAAACTGAATGCTGATTGCTCGAAATAACAATTGGCGACGGGTTAGAAAAAATTTCTGAACACTCAATCTTCAACGTTAACCTGTAATTGGACGAGATTCAGTCGAATTATTTCGAGCAATCAGCATTCAGTTTTGTCATCGGCGTCCTTGAAAGACATTGGTTGTTAATTAATCATACAGCATTTCTCATTACCGTGCTGATTCAGAAAATGGCTATCTCTCCCGATCAATTACAGTTACTATTTGAGCGACAGCAGCAGCGTTTCAGAAATAGCCAGTTGAATGTTTTAGACAATTTACGCTCACGGCTGCTAAATCATCCATGTTTTGGAGATGTAACAGAAGTTGATAAATTAATTTCTAATTTGCATACCGAGCTGGAAATTGAATGCAGTACATATGAATGTGTTGATAAAAGCCTCTATGAATCCTTGGTGAGCAGTAATGTAAGTGAAGCAGTCATTCATGATCCGCCAAGAGATCCAGAAATTTCCATTCCAGAGACATGCCCTGTCGTGGGTTCAAATCCCACTGCCCCTGAAGCGCCATGTACAAACAGCTCACAGGAAATCGACGTCTTATTCAATGCTAATGGAATTACTGCAGTAGCCGCCCACGAACAAACAGAAAATAAATCAACCAGCATAATTAAGACAGATGCACCAAATGCAGCTCATCATTCTATGACAATAGCATCTGATCAATCTACTTATCGCGGTTCTCTAGTTGTTCTATCAGGAATGAGTTATCTAAATGATTCACATGCCTTCGATCAGATTTCTTATAAAAATGAGAAAAATTTGTCTGATGCATCAAACGTTAATCAAGAACCTCGTGCAGTTTTGTTGAATGCTGATTATCATAGTGATTCATTATCTACTAAAGATTCGAACTCCGATGACTTCGAACTAAATGGTGTTTATCCTCACTATCTGGTCTGTCTTACTGGATCCGCTGTTCAAAATGTTTTAAATACAGTCAAACTAATTGTAATTTGGGTATATGAGGACCCAACATTATTTCGTGGGGGAGGATGGACCCGGGAAACTTATATTCCGGATATCAGGTCCGGATCTTCAAAGAAGGGGAGGTGTTGGGGTATTCAGAAAATACCCCAGAAATTATCTAGTGCTATTCCTGAATGAGAAATAGCGTCATTGCCCTATTGGTCAACATTCTTCCGACGTGTCATTTCCCTATTGGTCTATATTTATTTGGGTCATTTCCTGAAGGTTAAATCTTGTACAAATGTTACTTTCTATTTTATGGTACGATGTAGTCTGTTTGATTGCTATATAAACAGAGTATGTTTGAAATATAATGATTCATATCTCCGAGGCTGAGACTTGTGTTCTGGACTCAACTGGCTGGGCTAGACAGGGAAGCAGGACCAATCAGGACTCTAGGCTGCTCGCTCGTATTTTGTGCGTCACTGTTTCGATCGATAATAGGCTGCTCTCCAATAGGCGGATCATGCGTTATAACAAGTTTGTTGAACAACTTTGGCAGAATGCTTTATCCACCCTAATTAGAGCCACCCAACTCGAAGTTCTTATACTGGTGATTACGAATGGCCTCCTAGAATGTAAGACACCAGGATTGTTCTTGTACATACTCAAGTTGTAGTGTTCAAACTTCAATTGGATTTAGTTAGTGTTCTCTTCCTCTAAAAAAGTAACAGTCGTATGCTCATATCCGAATATAAGTCATGGTTCTATATGTGCTTCCATAACCCACCTAGATTATTTACTCTAGTTTCTTGTTTATCGTCCTGATGTTGAAAACAAATCAATCATTTTTTCAGCAAATTAAAAGTTAAACTATCTTTACATTCCTAGTAAAAGCCGATGGAAGATGGTCGCGCGACGTCGCATTAACATCATTGGATGCCGGATCAGTGGTCTAGAGGTTGAGCGTTCACGCGCGATAACGAAGGTTGTGCGTTCGAGTCCCACGTGCGTGGTTGTAGATGTGTACTACCGAGAAGTCCCATACTAGGACGAAACGGCGGTCCAGTGCTTCCAGGTAGTGGTCTGACATTGATCGGCTCATGATTTAAATAGAATTCAGCAATCTCCACAACTCTAAACTGCAAAATAAAATATAGATATATAGAATATTTCGGTTTCCGTGATACTTGAAGATTCGTGTTATAGGTAGTCCTCATACTTCAAATTAAATTATTTCCATAAACATTCCATCTTAACAGATATGTGTTGGCGGTGTTTTTCAGTTTGCTTAGTATACACGCTCACTTAAAGAGTGCTTGGATGCTGCTTATAGTTGAAATAGGGTAGAAAAAGTCTCAGAATAATTATCTACTATTAGTCTAGGCTGTTTTAATAACTTTGCTGTTCGTAACTAGTATCTGTCATTAGGGATGTTGTCTTATTTCTGGTAATCAATGCCAACGCTCAGTTACATTCCATAGTTTACATTTCGTTATTACTTGTCGTTTCTCAGACCATTGAACTTATATTTTCAGTGTATGGTTGTGAAGTAATGTAAATCCGTCAGGCTTGATCTTGTTCCAGTCTTAATCAGAAGTCGCATCCTGACTTCTTACTTATTTATGTCGTGTTGCACTTTTTTCAAATTGAGTAACTAACCACAGTGAACCCCTGAAGAATTTTTATGCACTGATGCAACTAGGTCTTCCTTTGGTCTTGTAGTTCTGAAAAGACACCTGAAGTTCAAACTGATCACTATACTAGACAACGTACTACGTCTTCTAGTTCTGGAGCTAGTCAAGTTGCTGGATGTATTATAGATGAGTGTGATCCGCCTTCATCTGATGATATTGGCACAAATTACCCGGGATGTATAGATATAAATACTACTGGTTTAGATAATACTAATACTACAACTGGTGCAGCGGCAGCTACTATGGCCAGTTGGAGTCAAGGTTTAATGGGATGGATGGGAAGTACTCTAAAAACATATTCTGCTTATCTACCACACCAAGTCTCCGAAATATTTGCTCAAGATCGTGCGTTTGCATATGCTCGAATACCATGTGCATCAGTTAATAGTCCATTTCGTCCACCAGGCAGTGGTAGTTCTGTAACCATGACTCCAACCGGAGAATTGGTTAATCTTAATTATGTTGGTTCGACACCTTCAATTCCTCAAGGTAGTCTAATGCAATTGTCACTTGGGCAAAGGAAAGTGGCTGCTCTTGTTTAGTAAGTTATAAAGATATTTTGACTTATTCCATGAATTGTTACCTTTGATGGTTATTGACTGTTTGCTAGATTTTCATTTGTTTTCCAGTTATCCGACAAACGGTTTAAATATGTTAATATGAAATGTTAAATATGAGATCAATATTATGAGCTTTTCTAAATATTCATTTCTATTCATTTTGTTTATCTTTTACTTAGAGCGATAAATACTGGGTCTTGTATGATAAAAAATGAATACATCTACTCTTTTGAAACCAATTTCAAGCCATGTTGTGTAGGTTACTCAATCAGAAGATCTGCAACTCCTGACATAGCTCAGATTGACTGACCTCGACCTAACGAACTAATGTTACGTCTTAGCTTATCTATCCTTAGCCTTTTAACCTGCTTCTATACCAACCGGGAGTCTGTATCGAGGTAGGCGGTGCATGGTGGGTATGCATAACACATATTCTATCATCTCAGGCGATAACGATTCAGATTATAAGCAACCAATCTAAAATCTTTAGGCATTACCCTACATCTATTCTGACCGTTACTCACACAGTGGTTCCATTGTGCTTGAATACTGGTTCAAAATCATCTATGATTGAACATTAGTAACCAACAGGAGTAACTTGAAGAAATATAATTTCGGTTTAATATTTACGACCATGTTTGTTTTTCCCTACTTGGAAACCAACAATCGAGCTTAGCTACATCCAGCTGGGATTGGTGTATAAATTTACGTGATTATTTGGTGTTTACCATGTATAATATTAATATGTCTAATTTGAAAATGCTTTCTCATCACATGCTGATGGTGGCCACAGAAATCACTCGCCAATGTTAAGATCACGAATATGGCAAGTTAGATAATTATGTAGTGTCTGTTGCTATGTCAAGTCCACATGGGTTATTCTAGCTTCCGGACAGACCAACTTATTTATTCATCTCGAGCCACATGTTGACCTTGTCAATTATTAGCTCATAACCTTGACTTTTTATTTGAACGTATGTGTATGTATTGCTTACCCTATTCATCACATGTCTTTAGCTTATTTTTTGTTTGGCTATAAATAATGAGTCATGCTTGATTAAAAGGGAGTTGGCACACTTGCCTTCTCTGGCCTGCTTTGTCCCTTCGTTTCTCTGGTTGTCTGTCTGAATTAACGAATGTATGAAACATGCGTATCCGAAATTCCATTCTCGTATTCGACTTATTCCGTTCTTCTCTGATGCGAATTAAGCTGATAAATATATACGACGGTTGACGCCATCTATATTTCTTTAACACTATCATTCGACCAATCTGGAGTCAGATCAGTGGGCCACATGAAGAGTATGGTATAAGGACAAACGAAAAACAACTGAGACAAGTTTCAGCCTATCAGAAAACACCTTTAATACTGTATGGAAAACAAACATTAATATTAAAACGGGTAAACGAATTTTACATAATTATTCACCGTCCATATGTTGTAATTTTATCCAAAACGGATACAAAAGCTTCGCAACAAGTGTGAGCTAGAGGATAGGGCTTGTAAGCGCATGCTTATGATTTATTATTAAATAAATATTATTTAAGGCATACAATGAATATTAATTGATCAATTACACATCAATAATTTTCATACATATGTGTCTATCTAAAATTACTTAATAATGACTCTTTGCACTTGATCATAATACTTTCTGTATACGAACTCTTTTTATCGAAAAGAATATGTATTTGTTTAACTGTGTGTTTCTCATGTTTCATTGTTATTAATTTTGTTGTTTCATTAAAAACACATTTGTAGCTATCAGAATCAACCACGGTTAATTGTCGCTGGCCTAGACGGTCTTGTGCATATTTTCTCTATTGATCCAGTCAATGGTGGTGAAGGTGTTTTAATAAGAACTCAAAGGTAAATTTCTAATTATATTGACGATGCTGATGCTGATACTTGAGACCCTTTTTTCTTCACTAACTATATTTAAAATTACATAATGTATATAACTTAACATACAGATTCGCAGATAGATGCGCCTTTAAAGTATTCATTTCTCGTGTTAAGACTAATAATATTTATCAGCCGTTCAAAAAGAAAAAGAAATTAATCAGATTCTGAAACTACCACTAAATAGTTAGAACTAAAGTGGTTTCTTATCATTAAACCATAGCTGTTCATTCAAATGGCTGTTGGTCATTTTAAAGTTACCTTAAGTTGTTTTTTACTCTGTTTCAAATAAATGCAGTCACACGCGAATACACACACAAACTCTATCTGTCACAAATGGGATAACACTGAGGTTTATTATTCAGTCAACTACATGACTACAATGGAATAGATACATTCATCAACAAGATTTCTATAGCTTTATGAAAGTAGTCTGAAAAGAGATGGGTTAAAAATGATAGCGTTTAGTTGTTAACATACTTTCTGTTTAATCTGTAGTGGCTGTGCTTCGTGGACCAATCACCCTCGTAACCGTTATCGTATAATCCCTCAACGGTGTTTGAAATCAGAAGGCAAAGAGAAGCAGCTACTACAGTTTTATTAGCAGGTAACTCAAATCACAGAGCAGAGAGGCGAATGAGTCAGCGAACCGTAAATGTGAATGTGTTAAATATTATACATATATATATATATGCGTGGGTAGTCAAGCATACTTATTCATACAAGTATAACAATAATAAAGGTAGAATAGGTTGTTAAAGTGCAGATGACTTTGTCCGTTTAATAAGTTAATAAAAGAACTTAACCGAATTAGATGAGAGCAAACTCAATTGAACGTGAGTTGCTATAAATCATTAAAACAAGTTATCGGTTGAGTGGGTGATTAGCCCAATCTCTACCACCCGGGTTACCGCTCACGTTAGTTCATGAGTCATTCGTCCCACTATCCAGGAGGCACGACGCGGATGTGTGAGTCGGATTTTGCTTTGGCAAGTTTTGCTGACTGTTCATGCACAAAATTGGTTTGCTGGTTAATCGATTTCATTCATACGGTTAGTTGCTTTTCAGTGTTCTCAAGGGCCATTGTCATTGGGACATTGTAAGGCATGTCGCCATTGCTAACATTAGTGAGTTTGACTGTCGTGTAAGCGGAATAGGTCAACTTTGGCCTGTTCGTGCTGTGCATAATTGATTCACGCGATCATTGATCGGAATAACTATACATATGACGTGAATGTGTATATGAATTTTATATTATTTATTTGAACACATAGATATTGGTACAAGGAGGCGCCGAATACGTATGCGCCACACAGATCTAATTTATATGTATGAGGGCTGTGATACTGCACGGGTGCCCAAACCGAAACAGGTGGTTTTCTTAGGGGACCACACCCCGAGCCTCCGACTTAATTATCTGATCTGCAAGGCAGTGGAGTATCGTAAGGAGATGCAGTCCCATGGTAGTCGGTGACCAACGATTGGTTCATACGCCATTTGTTCCCTCAGGATACTGGAGCCCATGTGCACCATTGGTTTGGAGTGATGGTTTTCCAACTCTCCGTGTCCACCAACCCAGTTGAAGCGCCAGACATTTACTTTTCGTCTCGATTTCTTAAACAACACTCTCGCCACGAGAAGGCAATGAATAGGACTTCCGTGGCAGAGGCTATATACGCGTGGCCATGTGAGAGCATTTGGAGAGGGAGAGCGGACTCTCCTCACTCTCGGCCATACCACGGTATTTGGTGCGAATGGTCCGCTAGGGTGCTTGGTATCTGTGTGATTGTGCCACAGGATTGAGCTGTACCATTCAGATTGTAGCGTTAAAACCTATACGGTGTCTGATTCTCCTGTGAAGCGGGATTGAGCTGTACTTCTCGGGTTATAAAATTTAAGCCTGGGCGGTGTCTGGCTCTCCTGTTAAACAGGATTGAGCTGTACTGTCTGGGTTGTCACGTGAAAGTCTGGATAGTGTCTGGTTCTCTTGAAAACCAATGTAAAATTACCCTGGCCTACAAGGGTATATTATAGGGTCAACTATAACTAACGTTTTTGCTGTGTTTTGTTAAATGGTGACTAAATCTTCTGGAGCATTTTTAAAGTTCTTACTCATAGATTTAAGCATTTACTGTGCCTGATTAAATCAGTGTGTTCAGATTAGGTTGTTGCCCTATGCATTTTGAATATATCTACATTGAGGTTTATATTGCTAACAATGCTGGTGAATTTTGATAAGCTTAACAGTGGGTTGAAATTCAGCTCAATAAATCTATTGATTTAGAAATAAACGATCTACTAATGACTTACTGATATTGATCTGTACTAGACTAACCGATTGATTGATCAACTGGCACTTGTTCCATCCAACTCCATACGAAATGGAATAAAAACAGATCTACTGAAATAAAATTCTGTGAATTCGTACGAAACACTGTCTACTGTTTGCACATATGGATAGAGTATAAAACTGTCCAGTAATGAGAATTAATCTAACTTGATTTTATGTAATATTAATTTAGTCTTTTTTCCATTTTGAGAAATATTCGCTTCCTTCTTTCCAGTCTATCATGTTATCGAAGCAGTAACCTTTTGATTGTAACACTTAACCTTCAGCCATAGACTCGAATAGCATGTCACCTCTCTACATTTGTTTGAACACCCTTCAAATCAGCAGCGTAGTACTAAGCGAAGTACATAAACATATACTTGGTGACTAAATATTATGTTGTTGAACAGTTGGAGATGGTCGTCAGGATACCCTGGATCTAGGTCTCGTACTAGTTGACATTCATTAATACTGTGTACTTCCGACCGTCAGGGGAACTGAAGTTCTCTGTAGGATTCTAACCTACGTCACCCAGCGTCGCAGTTTGTAACGTTACCATTCATCTACTCAGGCTGTGACTAACCTCCTGTGGTTTCGAGATATTTACATTGATTGACCACTGAGTAGTAACCAGTGTTATGCTTGCTTAGTTATCAGTTCCAGTAGGATTCTGTCGGTTACTTCGTCAGTTTGAATAAGAAAGGATTAGTCACTATCTAATTTTTGTTATGTCCTTCCATCATTCTAGATTACTATCTCCACTTTCAACAAATAATCAACCAACTAGTATATCATCTGTAGCAATGAATCCTAATTCACCGTACGATTCAAACTCTCTCCCAACATCTAATATCACTAATAGTAATGTTAGTATTTCTACCGGGGATGGTAATACATCTAAAAATGTCAATTGTATTCGAACTGGCGGGCCCCAACAACCAGGTGTTTACGCATTACCAGCGTCTGTTGCTACAACTGTAAATTTATCCAGTGGCAGTAATCCAGGCGTTGTTACAACCGGTAAGGTCAATACATTCGCATCAGTTGTTGCTGGTGGTATAAAAGATGAAAGTGAGTTTCCGATTGTATGTGTGCATGTGTGTACAAGGTTGTCGCACTATTTTATGTTATTAATTATTTATAAAATCTGATCATATTTTTGTTAAATAATTTCCAATATTTAACAGAAATTTCCAGATGATAAATGTTCACCAACTTAGATGACTGGTTATGCTTATGAATGACTACGTTGCTACACAAACATCATAGAACGTGCTATAAATTTATATCGATCTAACTTTTCATATTTCGTATCAGTATAGTATCAAAAGAGAGGTAACGATTGCATGCATCTTCTCTACCGTTATCGAGTTTGAGCTGTATTACTTGAGATCCACAACCATAAATTACATTCTTTTCGCTCAAACTATAATCACAAATTACTGGTACCGACAATCATTGGCTTTCTGAACTGATGTCATATGTTAGTTTGTTCGTTTTCATTCTTCTCTAAATATATACTTTCTGTAGTTATCATTGTACTTTTGGGGTATGCAATAAGAGAACAATAAAGTTGTATCATCCAGTTGTTACAGGGCAGAATTTGAAGTAATATTTCAAATTTAATACTTTTTAAAATTCCAATTTCATTTATAAAGTCAAGTCACGTGTTACTTATGCCTGAACACCGATTAACATGACGCGCGATGATTAGTATTGGGAACGGTTGGGAGAAAGTTAGGGGCGGTCAAACTAAAACGTGGCATCAGTGCTTGAAGTCACTAACTTCTAGTCTTAAACATGTTGGTAGATGCAGACTACTTGGTTGGCGTCCACGTGACTATCGTAACCAATGGTTGGAGACTCTGGGTGACATGGCTCAGAATCGATCAGAATGATGCTGGTGTATACCCTATCTGTCTTCCCTTAAACGGTGAGATTAAAATACTTTATACCTTTGTTTCTACGATCTAATTCTTTCTTTCTGTACTATATCCTTACACAAAATCTTTCCTTTGTATATTACACCATTGAGTTAACTGCTTCCATGAATCCGGTGTTCGTCTTGCTGTGCTAATGAGGTGTGGCAACTTGGACCGATACATATATGTGCCTGGTCGTACGTTGTAACTGATTGAATGCAAACTCTTATATGTATTTCCGAGATTTGAACAGTTATTTTTCCATTACAAGATTATCATTAAATATATGATCATTGTTATTCAGCTATATATCTATCTATGCATTTGTTTGTTATATTAAACTTAATGGAAAGAGAATTTCTAGGTGTTATGATTTTGTATTGTACATTACTGAGCTTCACTTATCTGTTGTGTATTTTTCGATATCGTTATTTTCTTTTAGGCACAAACGTTACTGGTGGTAATCAATCACCGAGTTCCATGAATTCAGCATGTCATGATGAGTAAATGAACCGATAATGTAAATGGATCAACACAACCCTTCTATACACACACACACATCAAGAAAGATTTGTCTACACTGCAATATCATTTCAAGTTTAAATGTTGTTGTCATCATAGTTGTTATTTGTATTATGTTGAATAATTGGCTAAATGATTTCAATTGTGTATTTTGGCTAGTTCATTATCATCTTCGGTTTATTTTTGTCATTCAAAGTTTTATGTACAATAAATTCTCAAAAATGATTATTTCAGTTGTTAGTCTGTTTTTAGCGTTTTATTGTTTTCTTTTGAGTGTCTATTTTGTTAAGTAAAACACATACATTCTTTTATCTACGCTTTTCGAATATTGTTAGAGTAAAGGAAACTGGCGAATCTAACCAACATACACAAACACACACACATCATACACACTCTTAAGTTTTTCAACCATCTTTATTTTCACAAAGTTTATTTGACGTTTATTTCCCATCATCCACTAAATGCCTCTGTGTATATGGAAAACAAAATTATTCCCAGCCAAGGATAACAGACAATGAAATAAGGCATAAATTATTCCGTCTATTCAACCCTGTAATATTTTTCTTCCTTTTTTCTTTTACCAAGTTCATCACCTTTATCTTGACTTATTCCCATTGTCGATTGTCTTTTTATTTGTTACTGCTTGTTGTTATCTTTTACTTCATGAACTACCACATCGTACTACTCATTACTACTGATTATCATTTAGGAGTTTCTTGATTAATGTGGTAATGTATACTTGTTTTCTATTAGTTTACGCGTTGATTTTCCTTCTCATTACTGTTAACATAAATTATTTACTTCTCGATGAATTATTCAAATTTATTATTATTATTACTTCCCATTTATATTTAATGGAAAAGTGAATTATTCTTTGTACAAATTTTGTCGATTTTTACAGAAAGAGTCAATGGACCTTTCAATCACAGATTTTCATCAATCATCATCTGTCTTTGTCTATAAACTTTGTATTTTTACACTACTATTGACCCTGTTAATAATACACCTATATGTTGAGCATCTCACTCTTATTCCTATCCATTTTTATTCTTATTATTATTATTTTGTTGAAACTGTGATTCGTATATTAACTGTTTTCCATTTATCTAATTGTGCTACTTGTGAATTGTTGAAATAGATGTGAGTTGGTGGTATGTTAGTATGGTTTTGCTATTGAAATATTATTAAGAGTTCTTTTCGACATTGTAACTAAGCTAAAGGTGTTATGAAATGAGCTTTATCCGAAAAATTACCTTCTCGTTAATAATTGTGTAACATTTGAACTCTATAAGTTGTCATCTAAAAGAAATGTGTTATCTCATGCAGTCAGTTCACTTATCAATGTAAATAAATGAAAAATAACAATACAGGATACAATGAATTCATTATATTTCACCGCTTTGTCTTCAGCTACATACAGGTTAATAAGTTGAATTTATTCAAAATGTTAGCGTAAAATGATTTTAGAAATATGTTAATGAAATCGCTTTCCGTTAGAGCTAAAACGTTGTGTTCGATAGACAAACTCTAAGAAGAATGTGCAGAAACAGACCTATCTCAAACAAGGTGATTACCATAGTTCATTTATAGACAGAAATGGTAGTTTCCACCATTCAAGGAAATTAGTTGATGAACCTGAGAAGGAACGTATGTTCATTCAACTGATTTTAATAGTGGTTCAATTACGAATAAGATTGTCTAAAGAACTAAGGCATCTCCAAATAGAAATTATTCTGCATCAAAATTAGTAACACTTTACATAACTAGAAACTCAGTAAAACAAACCAACGTAGACAAGTACCTGCCTGATGTTACCTATTATATTTACTCATTAACATACGTGAAAAACAAATACATTGAATGTACAAGAAGGCTGGCATCTACGGGTTTTTATAAGCATATTCCAAAGAACCTATCAAACGATATGCTAGTCTTTATAGTTCAAGCTTGCTCCACCTGTTGGACATGGAACACATGGTAGATACAATATCAGTATTCGATGCAGTTAACAAGTTATACAAATTAACTCTAATGAAATTCTCTGATCTCTGTGCTCAGTAAGAGTCTGGGACCAACCAGTATTTGTCTAGATAATTTAAAAAGAACCTCGTTAAGAGGGTAATTCTCTTTTTATGTTCAATGATTTCAACTCGATTTTCCTATTTCGCTCTCATATTTGTTACCTTTTAGATTTGCTTGTTCACTAGTCTGTTACATATACAGCAAGAGCAAGGGTTGTCTTTATCTACTTTACAGCCCTGACGTGATAGTTTGCGGAAGTACAACCCTGATATCCTCAACATGTGAGTTTGATTCGGGACTGAGTGGCTTTGAAGGCAGAAAGAAGAAAACTACTTTGCCGTTGAGCTGATTAGTTTTCAAGAGAAGAGTGAGGATGATAAAGCTGGAACTGTTATAAGATTCGTTCCTGATTTAAATTAACTCAAAAGGCACGTACATAAATATTTGACCAGTAAGGCCACAACTCACAAGAAATGTGAGATTGCAGAGAAAATAATAATGGTAAACAGAGGTCACATTTATATTACAGAAGATTTTGGATAGAAAAGAAACACGACACTAACTTATACGCTAGACAATGCTTTTTATTCATAGAATAAAACAGGCACAACACAAAATGTTAGTACATTATATATTTCCAATTAATTGAGATCTCCCAAAAAATACCTGTTATTTTTCGTTGTTCCTTTACTTGTCTCTTCACATCGATATTGTGAATGAATTTCTCAGCATATTATGTTACAATATTTTGTGACTATCACTTCAGTAATTTACAGAAACACCCTTATATCAGCTCACGTGCAATTGAGCTTGTTAATATTTAATTTGGTTGAGCCCTTTAGTTAACTTTTTTAACGGACAGTCATTCTTACAATAAAAACGTATCTATACCATTGTACCTTTATTATTGTTGCACTTGTATGAATATGTATACTGGAGCATTGCTTACTGCCTAAGCTTATATTTATTGTGCTAGCCTAACTGTTAGTCGCTCAATTGATTCGATGATTCATTCATTTCGCTATGTATATGTAATATGTACATCGTAATCCTATTCACACTCGTTCGCTTATCCGCTTGGTTTTCGGCACTACTCTTTCATGCTTGCTTAGCGTACAACTTGTTGTTGAAAAAAACATGACCTTTGATCTTCCGTTTTTGAACTCTCCATAGATTGAAACATTGATTATCTCTCACAAATACACTGCTGCACATATATGCCTCTTGTTCTCAATTATTCACTTTTATGATAACAGAACTTCAATATATCTCCTGTCTATGTTTACAAATCACAGTGATATCTTCATTACATGCTTTATCTCGGATTACTGACTACTTATAATTATGGACTACAAGACCAAAAGAAACACGAACATGCCTATTTCTGACAATTTAAGTAACGTCCAATATGTTTTTCTTGTGTGTATAATTTATATTTAGTATATTAACACATTGATTTTCTTTCGTAATAACTTTGTCATTATTTTCGGGATTGATATATTTTGGTCAACCACAGACCATTCGTAATCAGTTGGCCTTTAGGCTCGATGGTCACTGCTAAGGTAATAATCTCAGTTTGCTCAGCAAAATATAGAAGTCGATTAATAGCACACCGTGGTACAATGAATTTGTTCATTCTTATTAAATAATTCGTTTTTTCCTTTCTTGTGATTTTAAAATGGTGCACGCAATCTCTAGTCATTTAGACTGGTGTCCACATTGCGACTTGGTCGATAGGATTCGATCTTCACTAAAAAGGATCTGAGATACGTGACATTGATCACCACCCAGTGATCACTCAATTGTATGCAAATCGTGTAATTCCAAAGAGTATGTATCACAAACTAATCTTAGACCACTAGTGAATACCTGGAAAAACTAGACGGCAAGTTTGTTCGAGTGTTAAACTTATAAATAGTGTGCATTCACCACCGTGCGCCTGAAAATCGAACCCTGGGCGTCAAGTCGTTGATGAACCGTTAACGTCCTGACAGGTGAACAGACACCCATTAAATTATTGAGCTGAAATTCTAACAGGTTAATTTCAATATACGTAGATACTCTAGCAGTATACGAATTAGCCAAATACTTTTAGGATTGTTGATTTTAAAATTATTTGTTCCTTTGATTATTTTTTGGTAATGAATTTAGAGGACGAAGTTTACCAGAATTATCTGATACATATATATATATATATATATATATATATATATATATATTGAACTATACGGTCACGTTTTTACTTACTAAGACTCTTTTGTAGTTTGACACTTGTATTTCGTAAATATAAACGGCTTAGCAAGTCAATTTGTCAATAGATTTTTCGGTGTATTCCAACAATATACTAGTTGTGATAAACTGTTCTTATGGCACTATCAATACTTTTCGTTCAATTATTTTTACTACTTCTAAGATTTAAGTAGTCAAAAATGGATCAATTTAGGAAGATCCATTAACATAGAAAGTACTTTCACAAATAAGTAAGAAAATCGATCATTGTCAGCAGTTATAACAGTTACATTTCACAATAAACCTTAGAATACCTTCATCAGTAACGAAGTTTCAGATGTCCTAACTAGGGTATAACATTGGACCGATTCGTTTGAATATAATTATTCATTTACTTTATTTTGTTTGGGACAATGAATTATAGTTCCGCAAAATACATAACGTTTTTAGGCAAAAGAAAAACAGGATTTAAGTTTATTGCCATAGAACTTACACATTAATGTCAGATTTCATCAGACATTAGACCATTCATCCACCGATTTCTCAACTATCCACTATATTTTCCTCATTGTGGGTGTTCAATGGATCAGGGTTGTATGTGGGTTTGTTGCAATAAAAGCCAATCGATGGTGGTTCTACAACATAGGGGGGATGTGCACTACAAGACTTGACAGTTCTGGCTTTAGCTACTGAATAGGTCCGTAATGAGGAGTTGATACCATACCAAAACAAAACAAATGTCTAGAGTTTCTTAGTTTTCTATTAGATATCTACTCGACATTATTTTATAATATAAACCATCCCAAACTTAAATTTATTTTTGTCTAACTATTGTCATCTACTGACATAATTATAACAGTGTAAATATACACGCATAAATGTAAAATAATCAATAATCATTCTTTTGTTCTTTTCGAAATGTTTTTTTTTTCATTAAATAAAGACAATGAAATAATCAACTGATTAGTCTAAGACTTGAAATATAAAGATAAACAACAGATGGACCCTATAACAATAATAATAATAATACCATTACTTTTGATAATCACATATATAATACCAATGCATTGACGTAAATAGACTGATAACTAAATAAACAAATAAGACAGTTCAATCTTAACAACAAAAACAGTTACGATAAAAAACATCTATTCAATACAATCAGGAATTCTTATGTTATTGTTTTTTTAAAAATAATAATAATAACAATATTATCGTACAATATTGGTCACGACAAGTAAGATACAAATTTGGAATTGAAAATGATAATTAGTTAAATCGATATGTATAAGTGAACTGTTTTTGTAGGTCAATGTTCATCACATTTTAATAGGAAAGGTATGGGTTTGTAGCGTGGTGTCGAGTTGAGCTTGACTATGAACACCGCTACAAGACTACGTGCCAATTAACCAAAAAGATCCTCGTAGACCAATATCAGAAGGCAGATAATAGTAGTAGTTGAAATATATTTGCTGGCAATCTCGTGGTATCGAAAGAATACCGAGATCGTGCCAAAGGAGTACAAATGCGATCGGCAAGAAAAGGTACGTGCGTAGTCGAAAACCGCGTAGAAGTAATGGAGTACAATGGAAGACCAATATGGCTGTTATTAGCATAGTTAAACAAACGAGCACAGTAAAACAGTCACTGGTACAATTGGTTATAATAATAATTGTTTTTATTGAACCAATCGAGTTCTGTTGACGAAAGTAGGTCACTACAGGTTCATCCTAAAAGTAATCACGGACAAATGAATGCGGTTCATGCTTACAAATATAAAACAGTTCGTACATATTGGTTGTTTAGATCTTTTCAATGATGTTCAGTTATATCCAGCTGACTAGTCGTAAATTAGACGAAACGCGACTCCTGAATTCTACTGGTAGCTATCATTTATTTCTGCTTAAAACAGTTCTTAGATTACATTTCAATACTCATTATAATATATTTTAGGAAAATAAAATAGTTGACAGAAATTTATATTCTATAGTAAAATATTTATGCCGGGTCTGTAATTTTTTTATGAAATCAAATATTAGTTGAAGTTAGACATTAACCCCGTTGAATGCTGGCCGGCTCAGTGGTCTAGAGGTTAAGAGTTCACGAGCGAGACCGATAGGTTCTGGGTTCAAAT